TAGCGGTTGCATGCGGACTGGGCTACTGTAAGTGGGACTCCAAATTGCATCAGGGGTTGCAGACCAAGTGCCCGAACCAGCACACCACCGTACTTCAAAAATGATTTAGCCGATTGTTAATCCTTCATGTACCCTTTTTTCGTGGTATCCAGTTACTTCTTTTGTGTCGCTGCTAACTAATAACCAATCGCTGAGTGCACCTTAATTACTTATCACCATTCATCTCTTTATCTCTCTGTGTTTCATATGATGCTGGAACGATATTCTACTCATGTACACTTCCTCATTGCAGCATGTCCCAAGCAAACCCACTGAGAACTTAGCTGAAGGTTCCTGGTGCTGCGCGCTTTATTTTGGAAATCGTTAGACCACTCTCTCTCCTCAGACATCACAGTTCCAGCTAATGGTATCTGTTCCGGAGTTGAAAGTAACATTTGATACGGATGCTCCGATTGCAATGGAGCTTGATGATCCATTGGACTCACCTGAACAATGTCCGATTTACTGTTCATGTCAGGTACGTCCCACTTTGGTGATCGGCTTGCATAAAACCGAAATCTGAGGTTTGCCCCCGTTTTACGCGTTCCCATTGTGATAACTTATTGACTTATTGCTATCCATACACTAAGTCTATCCTTTTGGAAGATGGGGACTGTGTTAAGCAAATACTCTTTCCAAACCTCATGCTGTTTTTTTCCCGCGCGATCGATCAATCAACGTTTTTCTACACATCAGTGTTCGTTGGACCTAAGTTTGAAGCATTATTCAAAGAGACTCGCTGACTCAACATATGTCTCTGAAGTAGGCGTTCTAATTGCTTTGATTATTTTCTTTGCTTGTATTCCGTATGCTTTTTTATGTGCACTGTTATCATTTGATTCATCTATTATTTATATGTTGTACATTACTACAGGGCTCAAAATGTGATTTTTGTTAGTCTGTCTAAACAATTTCGGACCAAATGCGAGCTTCCGTCTCGTCCTTGGATCTTGATGAAAACGGTCCCTTTGAAGGAGCACCCTGTCTCAGCTACTGTGTATTGTACTCTTAATCAACCTCTCTTCCGTCCTTGCTAGTCATGTGCTCAATCTCACAGTCACCACCCCTATATCTCCTTTGCGCTGCTGTTTACTCGGTTATCATTTATTGGCTGGGTTTCAAAATTGGTTTTCCACCGCATGAGCGGAAACCAGTCAGATTAGTAATAGTGTTAGCAACAGTCTAACGAGTAGATATAGAACCAAACAAAACCATGTCAATCACTAGAACAATACTGGTTTAATCAGCGCATTATCCTCAGCAGTACACGCGGACACCGGTACACATTAGCGGTACCAGATTTAAAGCGCATCGCTCACCCTCTATGCCTCGAGCGTCGAGTGATGAAATATTGGAACAACTTGCCGGAGACAATAGTCGAAGCGAAATCTGTATCGGAATTTAAGAAATTCCTTGACGCCCACTTTGCGGGTTACAGGTGTAGGGGGCGCATCGCACCCGGATAAGATGTAGTGCAGCTGCAATATGCGGCAACTGCGCTGGAATCAGCAACGTGATTCCGCTCATGTACCCGATCAATCTACGATGGAGCAACACAGATTTTTATCTTCTCGCTCTCTGTTTTCAGTTTTCAGTATTCATGGCACCTTAGCTGAAGGTGTGGAAAAATCTTCGCTACAGTTCTGCAAGAAGAACGGAACTTTTGTTAACCTTTTGTAGTTTTTTCACGCCGCCTTTTTCATTTTTTGTTTTTTTAATCGTTAAGCATTTAGTATCTGAATTTGAACACGTATATGCACCAATCTTCCATTACTTTCGATTGCGCACCATATCCTGAATTGTTTCCACCCATCGGCACTCTTTGTCCTTTGGTCCCCAACCAGGCAGGCATGTGGATCCAACGGCAGCAAGAGGTGAAGTCAACGCTTTCATGTGCTCTCGCCAAGTTGACGGCTGACCGCCACTTGGTCTCTTACCTCCAAGTCCTGCACGAGCGCAAAGGGCGGAATGGGGCAAACGCTCAATGGAAATACATAAGACTAACCGAGCCACCTTAACTAAGGCAGTAAAACTAGCTTCGTAAACAGAATGCTCACATTCCCTAAGGCACGACCTGTAACTTCACTGTTGCAGATACGTTGCTGCCACCACACATCAGCGATCCTCCTTAAGCACTCATCGTCGAATGCCGGATGCCGGCGCATGTCATTCACGCGAACTGGCCATGACTCGCTTTCATATAGAAACACAGGCCGAACAGTGGTATTGTAACATCAGGAGGGAGACATCCCGACGACGCCACAAAGGTTTCAGGTTGACAAACGCCGCCCGATCTTTGGCGATGCGGAGGGAAACTTCTTTCCCAAGAGTGCTACCAACAGACACGCAGCCTCCTAGGGAGACAAAGCTGTCCACTCGTTGAAGCGGTGTACCTTCAAGAGTAAGCACGGGAACGGGCGAGTGCCAATCCTGGAGCACCACTTTACACTTCGACAGGTGAAGCACATTCCGTGTTTAGGTGCCTCAGTCATCAAACGGTTTAGACTAGTTCGCATACTCTGAGTCGTCACCAATAAAGACGATATCATCGGCATACTCCAAGTCGGTTGCTCGCTTACTCGGTTGTAGTTGCAAAATTGAAGTGGAAAGGGAACATAGGGCAACCCTGTACACCGCTATTGACAGTGAAGAACGACGAAAACCTGCCATGGACCCTCACTCTGCCGGAGATGTGGAGGTATAGTTCGCGTGGAATGGCAGGTCCATCAATCTAGTCGAATGCAGTACTAATGCCTAAGAAAGCAACGATGATAGGCCTTTGGTAGATGTCGCGCCATTCGGGGATTTGGCGGAGCGTGAATATTCGATCCGCGCACTCACGGCCAGGACGGAAGCCAACTTTTTCTTCCCGGTGCTTCGATTCACGAATCTGGGATAGTCTACGGAGTAGAATGGCTGCCAATAGCTTGGAGGCAACCACAGTGCAACTGATCCTCCGGCGATTAGCGCATAAAGTGCTAGCACCCTTCTTAAAAATCGGAATAGTAGTTCTCCCCAGGAAGGCGGCATCTTTTCTTCCTGCCAGATTTTGAAGAACAATGTGATTAGCTGGCTGGGGATAATTGCGCCTTCAAACTTGAACAGCTCCGGAAGTTCGTCTGAGCCGGCAGCCTTGAATCGTTTCAAGTGTCGAATCGCAAGACAAACTTCCGCTTCGCTGGGCGCATCAAGTGTGACAACCCAAAACAGACAGTTGGGTTCGCAGAGAATACAAGTGTACAGTAAGGACCAATTAAACTTGGTATGCAAATGTTAGGTCCATCGATCCAAACGTCTCTGTAGGTTAACAATCGGCGAACCGTCCATTTTGCAAATAGTCTCACTGACACCAGACTTTCTGTGGCTAGTAGACCAAATGAGCTGGAAGACCTTGCGAGTATTGCCAGACAATGCAGTGGCCTTCATCTCCGAAGAGCGTTGGGACCACCAGGCTTCATGATCACTGCGCAGGCTTTGCTTTAACTGTCGATTGACAGAACGGGTCCCTTCATTATGATAAAACTCCGCTGGAATATCCCTGCGGCGGTCAAATAGAGTCTGGAGCGCGTGGAGATTCATGTCTTCATAGGGCGCTGAATAACACCACAGTCTAACTGTTCGGAAGAGATCATGGTCTTCTGTATGAACATCCAGTGTTCATCAGTGTTTTGCGGTGGGTCACAGCTGAGTGGATTGATCAGCGAAGATTGATAGCTCTGCTGAACTGAGAGAACAGATAGCTTATTCGTATCTGCCTTACAATGCTGCGTATTCGGGGATGCTCCGAAACTCATGTAGTTGTTCGCAGAGCGTTGTCTGAGTCAACAAATGTGGACCAGATTGATTTGCAATCCTTCACACTACCTCGCCGTCTGAAACTCATCATCTTCATTATACACGTTAGCCACAGGTGGACGTGATACTACTCGGTTGCCCAAGCCAAAGTAGGGAGTGTCTTAGGGTACATCACTCCGGTCCTTTGGCTAAATAGCCTGCTTGCTAGACAACAGGGCGAATCCAGGGAATCGCGCCCATTGGGAATCGGTGACTAAATGTTCACGTCACGCATCTTTTGTTTGGTCGGTCACCAAACAGGGACCCAATCTTCCCCATGATATCCCCACACCTGCTTTATTACAATGCTCCATCGAAGTGAAGCGAGGGGCAGTGACTTTATTTAGTGGCGAGTCACATCCGCCACGTCGTAGTGTTGTTACACGGACATTTGTGGCATTTTGTCGGAAAAACGCTTGCCGTACGAAAACCCACTACGTCCTGGAACACTGCCACCGAACACTTCTGTGAAACGTGGTAGACCCGAACCACCCAGCTGGCGCCATGAGGACGTAGTTCGGTAAGCCAGTCACTAATCAGGTTACTTAGTCACCTTGTGTTTGGCGCCCACCCACAGAATATTTATCAATCCCACAGTCCTTCACTCATTTTGTGACCACGTGTGGCCTTATTTCTGATACGATTCTCAAAAATCACGAAGTGAACTGAACTTGTGCACGAGGTAATATTTGTGTTGACGTCGGAATGCAATTTGCACTGAGCTATCGATTTTGCGCGTTTAATCGGCAGTCATGTGCAATGTTCAGTATCTGCGTGCTTAGCAGAATACCCACTTTTGGGGCTTTCCTAAGTTGTACCGCGGCTGATACAGTCTACCAGGATAGGGTGCCTCATGGAACTTTCACCTCAGTGTCCAAGTGAGGTCACTGTTTTCTTGTTAGTTCGCTACGCTATACTATATTGGATGAGTGTTCCGCGATTGCTTTGCTCTCGGATATCCATCAGCTTCGTCAGCGCACCATCGTGAATGTCTATTTAGTCTCAGCAAATGATCCAATGTTATCTTATATCGGGTCCCTTTACGTTGTTACTCCTTAGCTACAGCTGCAGTGTTATCAAAATTAGTTTTACCGTGCGCTTCGTGTGTATACCACCGTAAAACCCATGTGGCTCCTCGTAAATCGTCCTAACCTGCGGATGTTCCCAAAACTCGATAGATCTAGTGTTGGCTGAACAACCCGATGCCAATAGCGCAGTACGGTCTACAACCGTAATTCCGTGGGATAAAATTGACGATCGGAGTTGTGGGAAAATAATGAACGGCAGACGTGGCCCCGCAAATGGCAGAGACTTGAACAAGAGTCCAAATATCAATCTGTATCTGGTGCGAACCATTGAAGAAATCACTAGCGGAAACCGGAGTAGGAAGACACAGTTGTACCGATGGTACTGTACAAACGCTGTAAGCGTCCCCTTACTTTGAGTATGCGTATAACACTAGACTTGAGTTATATGAGTCATCTACCCTCACTTTCCGCTATTTAACTTCAGTCTTTATACGATGCGATGGGTCCTAACGCAAGGGTCCAAGTTGGGAACTCCCCAGTCATTCTGCACGATGATGCGCAGCGTTCTACCCCCCTTCGCATATCTTATTTTTCCATCTTTGGCCACTGTCGCAAGAGATTGGTTCCTGTTTAACACAGTCGAAAATCTTACGAATCTAAGGGCATCAAATAACGCCGTTGTCTCATGCAATCTATCCAATCGCACGCATGCTTCAAATACTTGTTTTGAGAAGGACAAAATCACGTGATACCGATTGGTGGTCGGTAGTGTGCCCTACCCTACCCCCATAGGTTCAGGGTTCTCGTCAATTGATTTATTCACTCGAAACAGCGGCTGATAACAATCGTCTTCAATAGGTTTTGGTTGTGTATGAGAAGTTAAAGGCCCGTTGGTGTTGATCTGTTGTCCGGTTTTCGGTGAGTGCCTAATGTTTGGTGATGCAGCTCTGGCACTTACCCAGCGCTTTTCTGTTGTCAAAGAATGCCTAACCACTTTGGGTTAAGTTCATAAACTCTGGTACCTAAACTTCGGTCACTGCAACCAACATGGCTGTCTCTTTAGTTACAGATGCGCCTGAAGCTAATCGGGTTTCATCGAAATCGTAGCTGCATTGGCTACATCTTCACATTACGTCAATTATTGGAGCACCGCCATGTCTGTTGGCGACCCACTGTAGTCGTGTTCCTAGACATCAAAGGTGCTTTCAATTCATTGGTTCGATGTATCCTTTGGGGTTGTCTACTTAGGAAAGGTGTGCCCGAGAAACATATAAGTGTCATAAGAGCGCTGTACATGCATTTTCGGCCAGAGTGAGGGTTTATGGCACTCGCAGCCCTTCAATATCTCCAGCGGTGTGAGACAAGGTTGCCGTCCGCCACCTTCTCTTTTTAACTTCGACGGTGACGAAGTCATAGAAACGGCGTTCGCCGGGCACGAATTAGAAGGTGTGGAGCTGCTCCCAAGTGACAGACTTTTTGACCTTTACTATCCTGAAGTCATCATCATCATTATACACCTTAGCTAGAGGTGGGAAACACCTCAGCTACTGTGCCGCAATACCTAAAAGAAATAGGGAATAAATACAACAGTTGCATGCCAGCTGAGCTACCAGCAACTGATGAACATCGTTCCGGAAAGCTACCAACCGGCTACTAGGCAACCAGAAAAATTATTATGTAGAATTATATTGCGCTACGAAATAAGATCGTGGTTGGAGGGGGAAGTTAAAATGGATGGGGAGGGACAAAGTAACTCACAGCAGAAACGTCACTGAGGTCGGCTCCTTGGCGTGTCAGCAAGTGTATCAAGCCAAACGTGTTCATTGTCTTTTGGACCCCAACCAGGGAGCCGTGAAGCTCCAACCGAGGCCAGCTCCGAAGTGAGGGCCTTCATTCCTCTAGACCAAGTCATCGCTTGCCCACCCCTCCTCTTCTTCCATTCACACCTCCGGCGCGCAAACAACGCACGTCGCAGGAGTCGGTGGGCTGGCATGCGTAACACGTGGCCGAGCCATCGGAGCCTGGTGCGTAAAATAACGGTGCTGAGCGCTTCAGTTCCTTTCTCTGTGCCGTAAACAAGACGTCGAACACGCTCGTTGCTCACGCAGTGTTCCCACCAGATGTGAGCCAAACTGCGAAGGCACCGATGTCTAGGTTTCGCAACCGTACAGTAAGGTTGAACGTACCGCTGCATTGTACACTCTACCCTTCAGGGCGAGAGTGATGTCGCGCCGCCGCCATAGGTGGCGGTGACTAGCAAAAGCACTGCGAGCTTTCGATATACGGTTCGTGATCTCGTCTTCGATCCCAAGGGCGCTGATCAACTTCCCAGGTAGTTGAATTTCTGAACGACTTCTAGCTGATCCCCACCAAAGGTCAGTGCAGGAGGCGATCCCTGCCAATCTTGGAGGAAAGCTTTGCACTTCGATGATGCAAAGCAAAACCCGAAGCGGCTGACAGCCAGTGCTAGTCTGTCCAACACGGCTTGGCACCTCTGGGAGCTGTCACAGATGAGGGCAATGTCTGCATACTCCAAGTCAAGAAGTCGTTTTCCTGGGAGTAGCTCCACACCTTCTAAGTCATGTCCTGTAAATGCAATCTCCATGACTTCGTCAATAGCGAAATTGAAGAGGAAACTTGACAACGGGCATCCTGAAGACATTACTCTAATCTGTGATAGTTCACAAACGTGCCAAGCTGAACTGGATAAATTAGCTCTGGCTGTCAGTCATTTCGGGCTATGATTTGCACCCACGAGATGCGAAGTCCTCCAAGATTGGCAAGGGCCCACCCTTTTGCTGACTTTTGACGGTGATTAGCTAGAGGTCGTCCAGAAATGCATACATCTAGGCAGCTATATTAGCGCTCGTGGGATCGGAGCCGAGGTCACAAACCTTATAGCGGAAGCTCTATGCGATTTTGCCAATGTCCACCAGTTTTGACGCTGACGTGACATCACTCTCGTCCCTTATGTACGTTTGTGATACTTTGCTCAATCAATCGACAAACATAAGAAGTCTAGCTACGTTCGACCCTCGCTGTCTTCACAGCTTACTTCATGTCTGGTGGGAACACCGCATGCACAATGAACGTGCTTGGCGTCACGTTTTTGTTGCAGGAAGAGCGAGTGAACCACTGTGCACCGTTATAACGCCCTAGGCTCCGACGGCTGGGTCACGTGTTGCGCATGGTAGCGCATCGACTCCCGCGATGTGCGTCGTTTGTGCGACCAAGGTCTGGATAGAGGAAGATGCGTGGGGGTCAAGTGGTAACTTGGTCAGGAGGAATGAAAATCTTCACTTCCAAGTTGGCGTAGGTAGGCGTCTCCCTACTGTCGGGTTGAGGTCCGAAAGACGATGAACACGTTCGGTTGGATACTCTAGTTGACATGGAGAAGAGCCGACATCAATGGCGTTTGTGTTGTAATTTGTCCTTCTCTCCTTTAGCTTCCCCCTTTAACCACAATGTTATGTCCAATGCATACTATGATGTTTAGTATTATGTTACTTTTAGCTTCATAGTCTGTAATGTTTAACCTTTTATTTTTTCTATTGCGGCACATTAGCTGTGGTGTGTCTCACTCGCTGCTAACGCGTATTGCTGCTGGATGATGATGAGGAGGAGGAGGATGACGATGACGATGATGACCATAGTTACAGGTGAATTTGTATAAGCGATGAGACATGCACTTATTCTTTGGTGCTCTTTTAATCAAGCACGTAAGCAGGAGTCTGGTCGATGTGAGCAACCTCCTCTATGCTGCATTAAATGCCCTTCTTCAGTGAAGCGCTTACCCCTGGTTACAGTGGCTTTCAGATTTTGAGCGGTTTTCCGAGCTGAGTGATTATTGTGCAGACGTTTCGTTGCCTGACTAGGCAACGTCATCAGTGCGGCTTCAGGGGTCTGGTTCGCAGTGCCTCGTAAACGATTTCAATGTCCAAGTGCTTATTGATCGAGTTCTGCTTTGAATGCCAGGCTTCAATGAACTCACGTGCTTGCCGGCTTTTAGCCCTTCCGAGGATACTTACATGCTCTAGGTCGAATTGATGGTTCTCAGCATCCATATGCACTAACATCAGGGAGTTCTGGTCGTGGCGACGTATGGCTAGGCTGTGTTCGTGTAGCCTTGTGCCAAGCTTTCTCCCAGTCTGTCCCACTTAGTATTTGTCGCAGTCCCGGCAGCAGATCTTATAAATCACACCAGTTTCTTCTTCTTTGCTAAGTTTATCTTTCACTTTGAAGAGTTTACTGCGAATGGTTTCCGTTGGCTGGTGTGCAACTTTGACTCCAAAAGGCAATAAAAGCCTCGCTGCCATTTCAGAGATACCGGAATTGGTCGGAGTTTCACTTTAATGTGAATCGCAGTCTACATTGCGACCGCGCGTCTCGATCCATTGACACAATAAGTGCTTCAGAACAACCCGTCCAATGAGTCATAAACATTGCTCTTGTTGTAGGTCATGTGAGCACAAGGATGGGTGCCTCGAATCCGATAATCCATTGTGTTGACACTGATTACTGACTCCTTCCGACTTAGACCACGGACTCCTCATAGTTTCACAAACCTTCTTGTGGTGCCATATGGCGCTTATGACGACGTTAGATTTGATACTGAATCGAGCTAAACTGTATTGAATAGACCGACAGTCCTCCTTTTGACATGTTTAGTTGGAGTAGTATGGCAGGGGCTGTCCTATCTGGCGCCAGCTATCGGGCTTATCGAAGTTCCACTTGATGCAGTTGATCGATGCACCTCACGGCGATTCTGTGGTTACTGACGAGCAACTCATCTGGACGGTTGATGTCGTTAAAAAATCGCTGTCACGTTTCCTTTCGCCTGTTGATCTGCACGTTTATAAAGCTTCATCATCATCGTCATTATATACGGTAGCTAGAGGTGAGAAACACCTTAGAAAGAAATAAAGTCGCAACTGAGGCACGCCACCTGAGCCATCGATAAACAAATGGGCATCATTTCGGAGAGGTAGCAGCCGGCTATTGTGTCGCAAAAAAGTTACATTATGTGTCAGAAGTGAGCTCGTGGTTGGAGGGGGGTGGAGGGACAAAGAAACTCACAACACCAACACCATTGAGATCGGCTCTTAGCCATATCAACAATGTATCCAACCAAACGTGTTCATCGCCTTTCGGGCCCCAACCGAGCACCATCGTCAGATTTCTTTCATTGAACGGCAAACATACTCCGGAAGCTAACTACACACTCTTACTGCCTGTCGAGTGGATAATGCGGCTGTCTTGTAATCCACAAATTGCAACAGGTGCTGGTTGTGTAGCACTGAACCGTCGGTACGAGGTATTGATGTAATGCAGATGCCTTTCTAAAGGCCTCTATACCTCAGTTCAATCCACATTGGCAGGTCCATTTAAGGCCTTGCTAATTCAGAATAACCAACTCAGCAGCTACAAACAGCAGCAGTTTTCCATCTCAGGAAATTTATCTTTATGCCGAGGTATCATTGTATTTCTGAGCTGGTCAGTACAAGCTCCAAGCTCCCGATTGTGCCTCGGCCGGAATGTTGTAATGATTTTATAGGAGACTAGTTTTGCCAATAAATGCTCATTGTGCCTCATGCAGTTTTCTGCCAGTCTCGTGCTAGTGTTGATTAGACCGCGAGTTTCATATGTCTTGATAATCTCGTTCTTGTGACCTTGTGGAAACATTCCAAGCTTGGAAAACCCTGGACTTAGGTGCACTCTGATCCAGACTTCAGCCGTGTTGGTCCACGTCTTTCCTTGTGGGTGGCCTGTAACACAATCATTACAATCAGTGGGTCGCTAATCATGTCGCACCTCTTCTACCAATCGGAACTACTGTTGTTTTATTTAGTATTTCACGTCACTCCTCTGATTCTGCTATCCCTTTCTATTCCACTAACTTCACTCAATGACTTGATCTAAAAACATGTTGTGTCCGTATTTGGCTGCCGAAACTAAACTGGGCTGCTAAACGGTAGAGGAGCTTTACTTTGGTCTTCATTCTATCCATGCCAGTTGCTTGTCCTCCAGCCGGATAACTCAATCGCTTATTTTCTTTTTGATTTTTTCTTCCGCCTCCGTTTTTCATTCATCCCTAATTTTTATCCCCATGGCCATGTGGTGTTTGGCGAGTTGTTTCATCTCATCTCATCATCATCATTACGCGTGAGCATAAGGTGAGAATCACACTGTGCGGCAATAAAAGTTATGATATATGATCACACTAGTTGCATCTCTGGGTTTGCGACCGGAGAACTGAAAGGTTTATCGGTACTAATAGATTTTAATCACTTCTCTTTACCTAGGTTGTTTCTCATTTTCTTTGTTCTTCGTATCAAATCCACTTGTTTGCTCACTTGAGATTCGGTCTCGTTTATGTGGTTGAGCTACACTCTCCTACTGGTCATTTGTCACTTTTGTTATAGACCGAATACTGTGACTGCGGCTCGAGCCTTGGCATCACCGAGGCTTCAGCCCGCAAGGTCTATCAACATCTGGGGTTTCCCGTGGGGAGAGACGCCGTCACTTCTCAGGGTTATCGAGAATGTGCCTTGCATGTTTGGGGCACCCACAATCTGAGCACAGAGGAGATCCTATCCTGGATGGCGGAGTACAGCCCCGTCAATATAGAATGGATCAACGATGCTTCCTGTAAGTCCCTTTCTCTTGCATAATTCATCCCTTTCGCCGCTACGAGCCTTTACCATGCCTATTTCGCGTACATGGAGCGATATTGCCCCATTATCTTGCTGTTAAACAAATCTCCTTTGCTGCTGCTGATACGGTTTACTCGCATGAACACTACACCACCTAGTTTTGTGAGATTTTCTCAATCGGCTACGAGATTGCGATCGCGGTCTTTACTGTTAATTGGTTGTCAGTCGTTCATGTTCCATCTTCGCCATAGTTGACTTTCCCCATACTTTGAGACATGCTGGCACGTATGCCTTCCCATTGAATAATCTAAAATGCCGGCTATTTCACAACACCGATGCTCGTTATCGCGCAATGAATTAATCCATCAGTTCCCTTTCCGCACTGTCGCTGTCGTCGCCAGCATTCTTAGCCCATCATTGTCTACCGTTATTCGGCTACCATTCACCCATGTACTCACAAAATATCCCATCGGAATGAGGCTGGGCTCTTTGAATTACGCACTTGGTAACACTTTCTATGCCCTCAGAGACACTTCTGTCAAGTCAGGTTGGTTAGCCAGACTCATTCTCACCATGCCCCTATAGGATAATGGGAAAAGCTCATTGTTGAAACATTACCCATGGACTCTGTTGATGTGGAGCACGAACGTCACCAGATGAGTGCTCACTGTTACATCCTAACGATTTACTACCGATATTAAACCAGACATCTAGTTCTATTGACAAAAAGTGCTTCTGGTGTTGCAGATTGGCTCACTCACCCGTCACTTCCCAATGGGCTGAAGTACCTGTCTTTCGAATGTTCAATGGGCGATAGTAGATTAATTTTGGATGTTTGTGAGTAGGGTAACGGACCGGAAATTCGTGGACCGGGGTTCAATTCCCCGTCGAGGCACATTATTGTGCGTTAATTTTAATCGTGACTTCTACTTTCTACAATCTGTACCCTACTCACATACATCCAAATTTAATCTACTATCGCCCATTGGACATTCGGAGGACAGATACTTCAGCCCATTGGGAAGTGACGGGTGAGTGAGCCAATGTGCAACACCAGAACAGGTACTGTGAGCCCATCGGCAATACGTCGCGCACCAAGCAGAAGTCATGTGTTAAAATTTGCGCACCTAATCGTCAGCCGTCGGTAGCTCAGTGGTAGAGCAGCGGACCGGAAATTCGTGGACCGGGGTTCGATTCCCCGTCGAGGCACATTATTGTGCGTGAATTTTAATCGTGACTTCTACTTTCTACAATCTGTACCCTACTCACAAACATCCAGAATTTAAAAGTGCTTCTGTTTGGAGTAATGAGGCGTGTATATTAACCCATCTATGCCTAGTGTTCCATTATCGGAACAGCGGTCACGTGTCGGTTATTTTTAGCGTACTCATCAAGGTCGACAATGCAGTCTGCTTTATCTTTTCCGCCTAACTCGTGGGTCTCTATAGTATCGCCGCGTGCACATGGTTAGTCAGTGATGCCGATTCAGACTTGCAGCCATGTTGCGGAACCTGGCAGGAAGGGAAGGCCATCTCAGAAGTGCAACATTGATTCACGATTTGATGGCCTATTGTTAAGCAAGGAAAGCAAACACGCTGCGGTCAATGTCATAAGGACCACGTTTCGATGTGAAAAATATGATGTTGCCTTACATGTGAAGTGTTCATTTGAATATCGCACACAGCAGTAGTTACAAACAGACAAAAACAGCGTTTTATATACTACGTTACAAAAAGGCAATTGTTTTGCCTAGCGATCCATTTTCGGAACGCCTCATAACTCAAATACTGGACAAAATAAAAAATTTCGTCAAATTCTTTTTACATTATTATACCTAACATATATGAATTTCATGCCAAATTCACGATTTCCAATCTCCGGCATAAATGAGTTAGATAAGGTGACATAGAGACCAACCAACCATTTAACCATTTTTATTGCGTGCGTGTCGTCTTGGCATTGACGATATGAGTATCGACAAAGTGCCAGTCCGCTCGATTCTGTCTCCTCGACTGCGTCCCGGCGCGACCTTGGCGATCATAACAAAGACGACTATTAATCGCTGTTGGTGTTGATAGGATGCACACTCTTTGTAACAGCACCGGGTCCAAAGTTTAATTTCGCCATGAAGCAAACTACTGTCCGTGCACCTCTCCATTAGCACATATCCAACTTCTGTCCCGATTTTCCCCAAAGACTTGGTGACTGATTGGATAGGAATATCTGTTTAGGACGACAAATACAATCGGAACGCACCCTGCATCGACCAATGAAGACACTGCTTCGGTACATTTCATAGATACGTCCCCTTCTCCCAGTTCATTTATGTCACATTATTCACTAGCCTTACTGACAGAAAAATAAACAGTAAAAACACATTTCAAATTTTTTCGCTCATGCGATTTCTGCTACGGTTGTGTTGCTGGCTAACTTTTTGCTCGCCACCTCGCAACCACACCAGGCTTAAATCCTGCATCACACAAGTGATTACGTACCTTTTAACGTAACCCAACTACAACGGCATCGACACTCTAGCCTCCCGTTGTTTGTCTTGTTATTCCATTACTCTTGTTACTTCATGTGGATTATTCAACGTGGTTAGATCGTAGTAAAGTAGTCCCCCACACATTCGGAAATACACTACACGACCGTTTTGTCCTAATACGGCTCATTAATAGTGCGTATCCACTGGTTTCAAAAGGAACTGACCTCGTGACCTATCGGCGCGGTGGCTTAAACCGACAACAGACCGTCACAACTAGTTGCGGCCTAGCGTGGTTCATCCTCCACTGCCATGGAGGTCACGAACTTTGCATATTGGCCCCTAGATCCACGGCTTCGCAATACAGTTACTATGTAGCACATAGCATTCAGAAGCTGTACGATCGACTTTTTGATACGCTTATGAGTGGGTTTCCGGATGCTTGAAAGAATATCTGATTACGAGTTGACTGCCATGAGTAATTCATAAAAATTACATCAAAACCCTCCTAGTCATAGGTGCATCTTGTTATTTCACCACCTTACTTTCCGATCTACGCTCTGCTTGCCACTATTCTTATTTCATGACGGTGCTAGTCACTGCAACCACACTAACTAATTTAGTCGTATTTGATTAACTGAACAGTTCCTGACAAGTTCACTTGTCCAAATAACTCCTACAAACTCTAGGCCACCTCACGTCCCTGTGGTACTTTGGCAGCCTGACCGAGTTCAGCACTGGTTTTCGTTCATATTAGATTTCATCGTTTGAGAATTCCTCGGTTGAACTCATCTTGGTTCCAATCGCCTCGTCACATGCAGCCGCTCAGGTTACCCGATGATCAACAAACGCATCCTGATAGCATTCGTTGTTTTTTGATAGGAGAGCATCACAAGCTAGTCAATTCGCACGATGACTTTTTGAAATGAGGTGCGAAATGCGCCATGACGTACATGATTACGACTTTGTTTTTCTGCTCGTATGATAGCTTGATCGAACATGGATCCAATCTTCCTCACAATCGTAAGTTTGGGACATAATTCCTTGAGGGGACGGATATCGATCCGACGGTAACTTGTCGCCAACACTCTCAGGGAGCCGCATCTTCCCATGCATGGTAACATTATCTCGGCCAGAAAGCCACGACGGCACATAAATCACCCTTAATGCTTCCACATTAGCCCGTTTTTTTTACCTCACCTTCGGCCCACTAGTCGTTTCACGACATATTGTTGGTTTGCATTTATTACTGATGTTATTTTTAAGTCCATGAGTCTGTTTGACTCAAAGGCGAAGCAAGAAAACTCAGAGGCGTTGTGCAACGTCCACCATTCAGCGGATCCGCGTAGGCAAACGACTGCTCCTGCTGAGTTAAGTGAACGAACCGTATTAGGTTCGCTTCCGTTTGACCGTGTATTGCGTTCCTCTGAGCCATCCGTGCTCTATGATGTGTGATTATTCCCATCACACCATCCATGGCGCCATATGGAGTGAGATAAAACACTTTGAATCTAACTTTTCGGCTGAATCGGTGCTAGTTTAACACTTATTCGCTCGATTCCACCGTAAATACTTTGGTTCTAACCACAGGTACTCCATCTGCGACATCGCACGGCATTCTTGCATTCACTCTGCGGTTTATTGAACACGTTTTCAGTGTTTAACCACGAAATCTCCTAGCATATGCGTACAGTCGCTCATCCGTTGCGAATTTTTCGCAGCTTCGCGAGGGCGGGGAAAATAACTGAGCTAATAAAAAAGGCGTTTCGGTGAAGTGGCGTTCTCTGCGCATTGCTATCGATTCCATCTAAACCCCATACATAAATTACTAGGTTTGATCGACAACTTCTTTTTGTTCAGCGGTGGCGCTCCAACTTTCCTGTCATCCAAAAAGCGCGTTTCTCGAGAGGCAATCACTTCCTTCGAATCACCTATCCGGATGATGCTATTGATTTGTTCGTCTTGTATACCTTGGAGTTTTACCACTCCTCCTCGATGGGCTTAGACGTGGTCGAGCGTAACACCAGTACACAATCACTTTATTCACATTTTATTGACGCTGTGCATTATCACTACGCTAAGTTCATCTTCATGCTCCCCACCATCTGTTTCACAACATTCCACATTCTCATCGGCTGTGTCCTTCGTGGTCGACTCGGATTTCGCACGTGCCATCTGTGTCTTCATTTTCATGATTGAAGTATCTTTCATTTAAAACAGTTGCGCGCGGCGTATGAAAGTATATCTAATGCAAGTGGGTAGCCAGTAGCCCAGAACTCACCCATTGTTACTGCAACAGTTCTGCATAAGGTAGTACCTTTACGTTTTGTCGGACAAACTACATGTGCCGTCCGCAATTTGTTATTTTTCCCAGCCTTCTTCCTATGCCATCTGATGACCTGCTGCATTTTACTGTTTCGATCTTCTCACCTCTCTTTGTGGATCAATTTTTCAAGAATTCAACCCTCTCTATTTCTGACTCTTTACCTCTCACCTGAACACCTGTTTTCATAGCCCACTTTTACACCAGTATAACGTGATTCCTACTGAGCTGCTTTTGCTCTGTCCTAGGTAACATCATCTTCGCAAATGCCAACACTGTTCTCAGGATAATCGCGGACGCCGCTGAACCTTTCTCGCGACGCGTTGCTTTAGCCGCGGCGGCCGCCCTCGCCTCTGTGCTCGATGCGAATGACGATGCATCCAACTGTGTGTCCCACCACGGCAGCAGTTCGACTGAGCCACTGGCCAAACGGTCGGATGACTCTCTCGATACCATCGGGAGATCGTCGGCGTTGCGTGTGTCTTCGGAAGCATTGGATTCTATCGAGGAATTCTCACAGTATCTACCTCCATCTGGTCGTTGGTACAAGGCCTTGTCAGTGCCATCCAAAACGGTCTCTTTGTTCCTCCGATTCGCTCACAAGTGTGAGTTGGCCATGTGTACATCCCATGCATAGTTGGCCACCGGGCCTCCTTTTTGCCGCTTTAAACATTCCACTTGCACTTCCCGTCCCATCGATTGGACGGGCTTGTTTGTCTTGATAGCTACTCACTCTGACTTGTAACTTGAATCAGCTTTCACTTAACTAGTTTGCTCGCCTCGTCTTGAATCCAGAGGTAAGAATGCATCCACTTGCTTCACATATAATACACATTGGTTACGTCACATGCATTCTTTTACTTAGAGGGCTACTTGAGCGTCGCTTCGACCGGCATCTTTCGCTTCGGGATACCGTCCAAACTTCTCTATCTCAATTGCGGGCCCCTAAGCACTGCTTGAGGGACGTTGATCTTCAGATTTCATTCCATTTTTACCCTTTTTTGAAGTTGGTCTCTACATTTAGATGTTGCCCGCTCATATCATTGCACTCCGCGACTAGTTTCTTGTCTAATTACGCTCTTTATACGGCGATGCATAACCGCGACTCGCTGCTGGGGCGTAGAGGTAGCTCTTATGTTTTCACTACTACGCCATCAAGCCTCCCCCCCCACACACACACCTTCGTCGCTCGTTAGGTGCACTGTTACAAGCGGACGATACCTGACATGTGCCTGTCTCGACTACTGTCCCATTGATCGAACTAATCAAGATTCACTTCAAGGTGAACAGCGGTTCACGTAACATTATGTGTCGCAATCCATTCACGTTACAGGTACTTCAAACCATTCATCTATGGTTGTTACATCGTTGTGAGTGTTGTCTCATTATCTCAGATATTAACGTTGGGTGCTCGAAATCTTAAACCACTGTCAGCCGTTTTCTTCCCTCTATACCCTGTTTTTTGTGTTCGCCTTCTCAGACCGCATCTGCTATACCTCGGCTTAGCCAATGCTTATGCATAACTGATCTCTACTCACGCTTGAAGTCTGCCCTCTCGTCTATTAGTCGCTGATCCGTGCTACGCCTTCATCCAACCTTGCTTTTATGCTCCTGTCCGTAGCCGACGTCAAACTTCCCGGAGCAGAACGTCGGAGTTTGTACTATCGCCGTTACGGAAATCCTAATTATGGTGGAATGACTGGCATCCTGAGCCGATCGTACCGCCGTCGTTTGCGGATTTCTCGGACGAAATCGAGTGCGCATTCCGATGGAAGCCTGCGGCGTGTGCACATTTTGCCGAGCGATTTCGCTGATGCTGTGGTACGGGCGTACGTTGACTCGGATACTACGGATCTGAGTTTCAACTCTGGCATCAAATCAACCCCTTTGGTTCCTGTCTCTGAATTTTCGGCTCCTGAAGTCAATGAACCTATGCCGAGGCGGCAATTGATTGTGTACGATAACCTTTACGATGTTGATGAACAAGACGGAAGCCTAGATTGGTCCAGGAAAACCCCTATTGACGCCCGCAGTCGAATTGCACGTCGAAGAGAAGGCACCGGTAAGCTAAAAAACATGCCATTCGCTTTGCTTTGTTCCCACACACGGAATGGCCTGAACGGGTTCTGCTCTTTGTGTTGGTAAACTACAACCAGTATAACTCTTATGATCATCACAGTTTTTTTCAGACAGCTATACTACCCTGCTCCCCCAACTACCGGTTTTTACAAAACTGCCGCTACAGGTCCCATTCACTAAAAGCTTTTCTTCGTCACCCTGTGAATGTACCAAACGCCTGGGTTCTGTTACATCACCCAAAGCATCACCTGGCTTAAAGGGGTACGTTACATCGCAACACGTCTGTGTGCAGATACCATCTACCTACGCATAATTTTCAAATTAGTTGGTCAGAGATACTGCTATTGTGCATGTTGAAGGAGTGTGGGTCGAGTCCGTTGATGAGACGTGGCTCCCATCCACATGCCTCCCGGTCTTATTTCTTCAGATTTAAACTGGATATGGGGTGTGTGGATGGAGCTGTGGGTGGTACAGCGGAAGCCACCCACGTTCCCTCTGTAGGCGCAGGCATCCTGTTGCTTTCCTATGGAAGCTCCAGTGACAAGCAAATCCGGAACCGGATGCCGTCAACCATGTAGTTTGCGTGACGATGAATTAGCTGAATTATACCAAAATTCTCACTACTACTCATCAGTAATATAAGATCTGTCCGTATAGCTTCTAAGTCCTTTGTCGTATATAGGCACTATGCGGAAAGTCCTGGCTCGTGAGGCTAGTCACTGTCTTTTCTACAGTTCGTAACTGGCATGGCAGTGGAAGATGAGCTGGGCTATATCATAGTCAACTGTCGATCACGCAGATCCGCGACTGTCACCCATGGCGAAATGGCACTAGCTGCTGGCATCCTAAAGTCAAGGGGGCGGAACCCGGTAGGGTCCGCTGAGAGGTGCACCACTGACGAGATCCAGAAGGTCGAAACCTTGGCGTCTAGGGCTTTTCCATACTAGCCCAAACCTGCTGATTAGGAGTGACGATGATGAATTAGCTGAATTATACCAAAATCCTCACTACCGCTCATCATGTAATTTACGTTTATCATGTTTCATCTCAATTGGGCTAGGGTTAATTGCACTTAGTTTTTTCCGCATGACATTAGCTCCGAATTAGCCCATTTTCTTTGGTTTGCGCAGTTCTTTTTTCCTCTGCACCTTCCCGGTTTCTTTCGCGCGTTTTTCTCTTTACTTTTCGGTGCTGGTCGGTTGATATTCTCTGATTTACACTTTCACTTGTCCAAGATCACCCTAACAACAGATCGGAAATCATACACATTTTGATTTGCCTAGTTAAGGCATTCTGTCGCATATTTACCGTAC